TTCTCTTCATCATGATGAACAACCCCAGCTCTCTCCGCCTGTCTTCATAGGAGAGGTGTTTCAGCCTTTGGGTCATTCTTGTGGCCCTCCTCTGAACCTGCTCTAACAGGTCTGCATCTTTCTCTGGTGCTGAGGACCCCAGAGCTGGATGCAGTACTCCAGGTGGGATCTCATCAGAGTGGAGTAGACAGGGAGAATCACCTCCCTTGACCTGCTGGTCACACTGCTTTTGGTGCAGCCCAGGATAGAGTTGGCTTTCTGGGCTGCCAGCACACACTGATGAGACGTCAAGTTTCTCATCCACCAACATCCTGAAGTCCTTCTCCCAAAGAATAGTCTTGATCCATTCTCTGCCCATCCCGTACTTTTGCTTGGGATTGCAGGACCTTGCTCTTGGCCTTGTTGAACTCCATGAGGTTTGCACAGGCCCATGTCTCAAGCCTGTCCAGGTCCCTCTGGATGGCATTCCTTCCCTCCAGCCTGTTGACTGCACCACACAGCCTAGTGTCACCAGCAAACTGCTCAGGGTGCACTCAGTGCCACTTGTCCATGTTGCCGATGTTAAAAAGCATCGGTCCCAATACAGACCCCTGAGGAACACCACAAGCATTCAAGCTTGGAGATGTCTTTTAGATTTTAAATGCTTCCATTTCTTTCATGTAATTCTTTCCTAGTGAGTGCTTGCCAGATGCATTCATTCATGCTCTGTCTGTGAGCTGTGCCTCACTTCTAGTTTATGTTGGTATTTTCAAGTGATAAACAGCTTTAGGGTTTTTTGCCAAATGCAACAACACATCACTGGGTTGATACCTGATAAAGGTGTGTAAATAATGGAGGTACCTAGGAAGGAAGGAGGCTTTAAAAAGTCTGTGGGAGATAGATGGGGCTCTGACAGAGTGCTCCTGAGCAGCAACGGCAGATCTACCTTAGCAGTCTTGGAACAGATCCTGACACAGCCCTTTATCTGGGTAAGCAGTTTCTAGGGGGAGGAGAGAGCTGTGCTTTTGCATCTTTAGTAAAGCAACAAAACCAGCTGTTGAAATAATCAAAAGAGCTACAGTTGCTGGCTAGTCTAATAATAGCCTAGGCCAAACAGAGTAATTCACAATAATTTGACTCAAATCGGAACACACAAACACACACACACACACACACACACACACACACACACAAAAAGACTTCTGCTGCTGGGTTGCTGGGCCCAGGGGAAGAAGGAAACAAAGAGGAGGGGAGGATGAATTGGACCAAATAATCTGAAGTGCAAAGGAATTAAAGCCATGTGGGAAATTCTCTCCAGAAAGTCAAGGAACTGAGATCCTCTTTTACTTTTCAGCAAATAAACAGATGGAAATTATCAAAAAAACAAATAAAAGGAGATGAAAAAGTACATATAGATGCAAGTTGCAAAAGTTTTATTTAAAAAAGAATGAACAAAACAAAGAGGAAAAGCACTTGCTGTAGACTCAGGTAGTTTGGGAAAGCATCAGCATGTGGCATATGCTGCTCTAAAGCACTTCATGAAGTACAACAAATTTGTGTCTTACAAGCAGGGTGAAGGAAAAAGAATTGCATTCTTGTACTTCACTGAGAATCTCTGTACATGTGCGTAGGAATAAAAAGGCTTTTGTATATTTTCATAGCTACCCTTCTCCAAGAAAACAAACTTCATTGTCTCAAAAAGTCTGCAATATAGTTATCAAAATCTGGAAATTTCTCACTGAAATTCTACTTAATCATTTGCTGTAATGTAGATGCTTATAATTTCACAATAGTAGAGTAAAAGAAGGAAACAACCGGGTAAATGGGTCTTTGTACTCTCTGCTTACAATTAGTTGCCTTGGCAGTTATTATTTTATAAGTATTTTGTTCTGATTTGCATCCTTGGAATTGCCACTTTGTTTGGCCCTGCAAAAAGACACTGTTTTTCAACAAAAAATATCAGCTCTATAGAAGTGTTTAATTGAAGTCGCCCATGTAGCCTCAATGTCTATTCAGGTTCTGCAAAGCAGCTGAAGCCTGCAATGAATGTATCAGTGTTTGGCCGAGATACAGGAGCCTCAGACCACAAAAGAATAGAGACAAAAGATTTTTTAAAAATGCAAAGGATGAAAAAGAGTATTTTCAAAGGGGAAAATGTAGCCTTTGGACATGACAACGTTATTTTTGTTCTGAGTAAAAATAATAAGAGTCTCGTTCAATAGACGAATGACGTTAGTGATATAGCCAGTATAGGAAGCTGACTTTGGTGAGGGCCAAGATCTGATAATTTGATCTCCATTTGTGTTCAGCTGATCCAATGGGTTTTAGCGTAGCTGGAGAATGACATATCAGGAGCCTGCAGGTTTCCTGAAATGTCTCCAGCTAAGCGTGGGTTCTCCTTGCATTGTTACCACTACTTGTGTCTTCCAGCATATGAGCACGATGGCAGTCTAAAGGTAGGTGGTTTTGTGATGAATGAAGATAATTGAAATAGAAGATTATTGGCTTCCTTGAATAGAGACTTTTCTTATTGAAACACTGTAAAATCACCTTTCTGCAAATCTAGGGATTTTGGGACTGCTCTCAAAAAATGAGAAGGTTCTCTGCATGAAAGCAGCAAATCCAATAATTTCAAAAGACTGAAAACTGGCAGCCAAAGGGAGAAAACCTATTCAGAGTGAGAGTCTTATAGTTTTAAAAATTATTTTTACAAATAATGTCACAAATTTTTATATATATATAAATATACAAATAATACACCCTTTCCTCTCCTGTTGTCTTAATAAACACCTTCTTACAGGATTATTCTCCTCTTTGGCCTTATCATTTGTGGGGTAATAAATATATTTGTTTATACTGCCTTCATGATGAGAGAGAATAAGAAGGTAGAAGACAGTGAGAAAATATGGAAGGGAAAAGAGCTGGTTCAGAGGTAAACACTTCTTAGAATGAGAGGCTGTCAAAGCCAAATTAATTCAAAGTTTTAAGTCCTGAAGTTCATGTTTGCTCTATAACCACAGAGTTATCTGTGGATAGTGTTGATGCTGTGCTAACGTGAGCTGGCAATGGCATGATGTAAGGAGTATTATCACACTGGACACATGTGAGTCTAATACCTAAGAATATACAATGCTAACCCCAGGAGGAGAGTCCAGCTTTTCTGCTGCAGTTTGCACTTCGGTGCAAAGAGCTGACAAGGGAAAAACTTAAAGAAGACAGCAGAGTGCTAAAGAATTTTCAAAAGGTCAGATGGGGTCATAAATTTGTCGACTGCAGTAAATTCATGAGTTTCTCACAGTACCAAAATGGGTTAAAGGAAGGTGTAGCTCTGATTTTGGTGGGCTTTTTCTGTTTTTCTGTCCTTAAGTGCATGTAAACTGCCTTTCACTGGAAGTATATATGACATACAGGGAGAGAATCTTCACAGTTCAATACAAAAATTTGCAGTCTCCTGGTTTTGGTGTTTCTCCTTTATTTGGAGGGGGGTGTGTGTGTTTGGTTAGTTGGGTTTGTTTTTTCCCCCCCACAGTTACCACCTGTGAGCACTCAGGCATTCTGTCATGTTTTTCTTGTTTTGAACACTGACAGAGTTCACACGTACCAGAAGTGTTCACAAAGTGACATTAATATCCAGCAACTGAATAATTTTGCAATTAAATATTTGCATGATAATTACTAATTCAGTGCCACAAAGTTTAATATTAATGAGGTTGTAACAGTCTAGATGCATTAATGTGTGTTTGCTAATGGAAAAACACTTTTCTAATGTGGAAGTTTTAAAAATTTCAAAATAGACCATGACAAATAGAATGAGTTTCCAACTTTAAAAATAAATTTGTTTGATCTGTTCCAGACATTATGTTTCAGTCATACATTCATCAACACACAACTTCGAAAACAATTTTGCTTTTATTAAAAGTTGAGTGAAAAAAATTTGATAGCTTTGAGTACTTGGCTTGGACCCTTGAAAAATTTTGGATGACACCTGCTTATTTTAAGCCAGACAGCCAAACATGATGCAAGACAGCATTTCTCAGACATTCATTTTTCATTTTATCTGATAGGAAGGAAGGACCTGCAGTCCTCAGTAGCAATTAATGGGAAAAGAAAAATAATCCTACATGATAGTATCACTCTTGTCTTTTCCAATTTTATACCACAACCCTTATTCTAATCACCAAATATCTGTGCAGGAATAGATGACAAGCATTCTCATCATCAGGACCTCCATACTGGCTTTAAAGAGGCTCAAGACTTGACATCAGCTAGGGGGTTTATGTATTTCACACTCATGCTTGCAAGAACATAGGGTTTTTTTGGAGTTGTGCATTCCAGTTACATATACTGATTTAAAGAACTGTCGTTTCTGAGCTGCTGACTCCCAGGGATATATCTGTACTATTTAGATAGATGAAAAATGGAGTTTCAGAACTATTCCTTTTTCTGACTCACAGAAATAGCTTCATATTATTCATACATTGCTACTACAAAGCAATCTGGTGTTTTTGGTGTCAATGACCTATTGCTAAATTCTTCAATGTTGAGTTTTGTTAGCAGTTTAGCAACAGTGGAGGCCTTCTCCTATATTTTTTTATCTCGCTACTTTGCATACACACATACACATTCACTATGTTCAGCATTTTTTTCTGTATTCACTAAGTATGATCATAGGATTGCATCATTCAAAAGAAAAAGATTCATACGATTAAAAAAATACAAAGTTAAAGTTTATGATGTGATGATGCAACAGGAATCAAATTTCCTCTATCTCAGTTGTGGAAGTGGATGGTGTCAGACTCTTTTTGGTGGTGCCCAGTGACAGGACAAGGAGTAACAGTAATAAACTAAAACACAAGAAGTTTCACCTCAACATGAGGAAGAACTTCTTTACATTGAGGGTGGCACAGCATTGGAACAGGCTGCCCGGGGGGAGATTATGGAGTCTCCCTCTCTGGAGACATTCAAAACCTACCTTTGTCACCTGCTGTAGGTGACCCTGCCTTGGCAGGGGGAGTTGGACTAGATGGTTTCAGAGATACCTTCCAACCATTCTGTGATACAGTGAAGTGGAACTCAAACATCTGCCAAATGTCTGCAGCTCCCAGCGAGGTCTGGACTGATGAAGCAACATTTTTACAAGATGCTGTTGGCAAAATCCTGATACGGATGGAAAATTTCTCACAGCAAACTCACACCTTGAATCAGAGCTTTGCACTAGCCGGTTTCTGAGTGAGATCTGGACACAACAGTACTCAGCTGAAAACTGAAGCAACTCAGATTTTCCCTAAGGCATCATTTTCAAACATTTTTAGACTTCCCTCACATCTTATTTTCTCTAGGATTTTATGTCTCTCCTACTCTTCTCCAATGCAACTCTTCAAGCCTACCCCAAACCTCTGCCTTCCTCAGACTACAGCTACTCAAACTGTTTATTCTTCACAGTGTTTATGCCTTTGCCCAGAAAGAAACTGCAGCCTTTCCTCACAGAGAAACAGCTCATTCAGTCCAAATCTTACAGCTGCTTGTTGCAATTTCATTAGCTCAAAGGAAGTGCCACATTCTTCAAGGGGCTGCTGAACAAAAAGCTTTAGGAAAGCATGAAGGGCAGAGAAAAACCTGGGCAGAATTTCCTGGGGTTTTACACTATGAGAGAAGGCAAGAGCTGATCCTCTTCTCCTAAAAAAAGCCTCGCTCCAATTTACATGTGTTTTTCTCATTTCCAAGGACAGGAAGTAGTATCCAGGAATTAGTAGGGGAAAAAGAATTCCAGACACATTTATCTGTGCTTTCTACACTCTTTCTGGTTGTTCCCACTGACTAACTAAATTGTCTTTATGGATAAAATTCCCTAAATGCATATCTCAGGATAACTTTATCAATTCAGGAACTGCTTCACAGAAAAAAAATCTTTTATATCTACTGTGAATTCCCCTCCTCCCGATGCTGTCTAAATGTGAGAAGTTGTTTAAAGGATCTCTACAGTGTTCAATTCCTGATCAGTGAGAGTTCAATGGTCTGGAAAATAAGGAAAGAGTGTCAGAAGCAGTTTCTGGGATGCTTTTACAAAAGCCGTGTATTCAGGACTGTGCTGGAGCCAGGAACAACCTATCAGCCCCGAAGCAGCTCTCTCAGAGACAACTTTATTCCACAAAACCTTCAGGGTTCCAACACAGTTTTATGTTCTCAAAATTTATGATGTGATCATGCCCTAAATTTCTACCTGGACAAACAATTTCAGACTTCCTTCAAGATGAGAGAAAACAAATGAGATGTTCTGATTTCATTGAAAATATAATTAAAACACAGTTTTTGATGTAGAATTCGGCTATGAAATCTCCATAGACCACCCTCTGTTTTGCTCAGATTGGAGAGGTGCAGATAAACGAGGTAGGCTTGGGCATACACAATTACTATTGGCAAAGCAATGATTTAAGACTGAGAAAGGAATGAAAAAAATTACAAAAGGATAATGTAAAATATGCTGATAAAACCTTGGTCTGATCTCACACAATTACAGTTAATACAATCTTCCAAGGGGATTAATACGGATTTATCATCCAGTCCCAGGGCAAAACATTAGAAATGTTCAAAGCAAAAGGAAAACACATATTGAGAACTGGAGTAAACTGTCTCTTGTTTTACTCTGGTGCTTACACTGGCTGAATGTTGATATACTGCTGCAGCACTGGGGCTCATCCATCTTTGGATTAGCACTAAAGAAAATGCCTTAGTTTGACAGTTGTTGTAAGTGAACCTTGAGCTTTTTCTTTTTTATTCATGGCTGGTTAGGTGTGCAGGTCACGTTCCAGCCTCATTAGTGTATGGTGGCAACTGAAGTCTGGTTATTAATTCTTCAGCTTGCAAGTTGTTAGCAACTAAAGCCCAAAATTATTCACATAATTTTGGCAAAAGCAGAGATTTCAGAATCTAGTAGGACTTTTACTTTTGTTTCTTGATGAAAAATATCTTGCTGGAAATAAAAGTGACTGCTTAGTGCTAGACAGGCTCACATATGCTAGCATTATACCTGGTCTGTTAACAACTGGAAAAGTTATATGCTTGAATGTTTCCATTCTGATTTTTTTTTTTTTTAATTTGTTCAAGGCTTCTGAAAATGTACAGGCCTGATTACACTTCCTGACAGGCCTGATTACACTTCCTATTCTCCCTGAGAAGTGATTTTTTGCCTGAGTGCAAAGGTCCTTGCTAGCTTATAATACCAAAATATCTTGTATTTGCAAGATGTAATCTCCATCTTATTTACTCTGAAATACTTGGACATTCTTAGTCTTCTACTGGCAGAAGTATTGTATTCATTCTGCATCATTACGGGGTCAAAACTTTCAGGGGACAACTATGAATTTTCGTAATTTCCTAAAGTATGACAAAAAATATATTTAAATAGAGCATGAAAGATGGAAAATCATCATTGTTAAGATATTTCTAATGTGCTCATGATCACGGTGCCCTAGCATGTTAATGAAATTAACTGAAGCCTAATTCAATTAATACTTTCTTTTCCTTCTAATCCCTCTAATTACAATAGCATGAACTTTATTTTTGTCATACATTTGCATCTGTTTGTGTATACATGATCATTCCTGTTTCTGTCAGTAACAGAGACATAATTCGTAGAAATAAGCGAAGATTGACTTTTGGCCCTAGTAATGTAATCAAAGCCCAGAACTAAACAAAGTAAAACATTATGTTGCATGACAGGACAGCATCTGTTGTCTCCCATAATTACTACTAAAATGTAAAGGGAATTTTGTATGCCATTTTTCCAGTCTCATTATCTTATGAACATTATTCATACATCTTTTTTTTTTTTTTATCCTAAAATTTGACCTCCTCTTTTCAAAAGTCCTATAAAATTAGCATTGTGGCTTACCTTTCAATTTAAAATTAAATTCTTGGAAAATCTAGTGAAATGAATCTCCAGCTATTCATGATTACACGTGTTGCTTTTCTTGATGTGACTGTACTCTGAACTGTTGAGCTGAAGGAATATTGAAATGTCAGCATGCTTCTTGCCTATAAATAAAGAACAGGCCCGTAGAGTGAGTGGTGTCAAGAGGGGAATGACAAATCATGTTCACATATAACCCTGTATTTCTTGTGTATAGCCCCCCTACAGCCCTATCCAATATTGACATATAATTTCTGCACTGTAATCCAAATCACATTCAAAGGATGGACAATTTTTATTACCATTCATCCTTGTCAGGATCACTTGAACAGCATGTGTAACTGAACTCTCCAAGAGGCAATCTTTTTCTGTGCAAAGTGATATCAGAATACAAACAGAAGTCAAGAAGAAATAAAAAAAACAGAAGTTCACAGCACTCCTCAGAAAGAAAACCAAACACATTCTACTGAACCAAGTAAAACCCTTTAAAAATTATGTCTACTGGACTCAATTTTTGATATGTCTAATGTCCTTTTTACAAGAGTCCTGTGAAATTAATCCTTTTATATTAAAAATATATTAAAATTATATTAAAAGGCCTCCCATTTCTCATACTTCCTCTGTCTTCACTCTGCCTGGGTAATACACACATGCTACTTGAAAGCTTATTTCAAGCAGGAAATTCTGAAGCTACAAGAAGTATCACTTTTATGAAAGACTAGTGAGGAATCAGGAGAAATGGTAGAATCAGAAACCATCTAGAGGGACTGTCTAGTAAGACTTTTAATTGGTAAAGCTCTGTGAAATGGTCACTAATGGGAAAAAGCAGCTTTAAGGAATAGTGAGGTGGAAGCAAAGGAGATAAGAAGCAAGGGGTGGCAGTAGGAAAGGGAGGGTCAGGACAAACTGCTATACATTCTAGTTTATTTCTGGCTTCCAAATGCCCCGAGCATCCACTGATCATTCATATGTTAATGCAGGAAATAAAAATAATGAAAAGACATGCTGAGATGTTACTTTGCAGAAATTCTGGCCTTACATTTGGTATCACAGTTCTTATGTTTGTGCCACCAACTACATATTTGATTAATTCCTCACCTTCTAGTTACATTAGTCTTTTGTTGGCTACAATAAAACCTTGTGTTTATAGATTTGTTCTATGTATAATAAATATTCTCACACATTTATGATAAGCCCATATGGTCCACAATAATCCAGACTCTGATCACAAAAAGGTTTGTGTAGGTTTCAGCACAGCCTCCAGCATCATGTCTTCTGCATTCCTTCTGTTATTTTTGGGAGCATGTTCAGTGATGAACTGGAGCAGTGACAAGAGAGATGTATCAGCACAGTGCTACCAGGCAAGCGAGCCTCATAGAAATTACTTTGGACATCTCAATAAAACTGAAGTAGTTCTTGTGCACTTTAAATGTTTTCAAATGTGCTCTATTCACTTTATGCCCGCTATGATAGCTGGAGTGCTCTGCAATTTGTGGAGTCCTTGCTGGTGGCAGCATAAGGAGTATAAAGGCTGTTTATCCAAGGGCCCCTTGCAGAACATGGCAAACAAAAGCTGTCAGAGCCAGAACTTCAGCACCAGTTGGAAACTGTTCAGACTGCTGATCAACCCAGAATCAGAGGAGTACAGAGATGGTTCAAAGCTAGTCTTGTTTATTCTCCCCTAAGGCAGTGAATTCAGGTCTCCTTCTTCTAGATATGCAGTATTCAAATTTTCCTGTAGCCCTGCTGCATTGTTTACTTAATTTGGCAGGATCCTTTCTACATCAGGATTGGGTCTCCTCACTTAAAAAAACAGTAGAAATGTGAGTGCTTTCCTCGTGTTGTAAGCAGGCACAGGATCCTGGCACAGGTATTTCTTTACACCTCTTTTACTACGTGTCAGCAGATGAGGATGCATATTCCAAAGAATTACAATCAGTCTTTCTGCCAGCTTCAGCTGGATTTGGATCAGGGATGTAAGTCCTCACATTATCAACAAAACACATACAGTGTTGAAACAATTTGATGGAAGAACTATGAATTTTCCAGACCTGCAGATTGATTTGATGAGATCACATTTATGGGGCAATAATGCCATTCCATTTCAGTCCTTTGCCTCTTTTCTAGCAAACAACACTGCTGGCTGCCAATTTCTGCCAGCTGTGGGAAACTCTGCAATATGAATATTTATCCATTGGGATGGGAACAGAAAAATATTAAAGGCTGATGTTTCAAAAAGCTGTATTTTGAGGGGAAAGAAAAGAACAACCGCATAATTTCACAGAAATTTTAAAATATAAGACTGAGGAGATATCTAGCCAGCTTCCTGGAGCTGGTACTGTGAAAGTAGCTAGCTTTTTGAGCCTTAGATTTAATATACTGCTCACAGAATTTATCACATCCAATTCTTTTATGACAGACAGTATAACTTCATGTTTGTGTGTGATTGAGAGCTATATCAAAATGTGTTCCTGAAGTGTTGCATTGTATTGAGCCATTTTTCTCTTTACACTTCAATAAATTTACTACTGTGTGTACAGTGTCCACAAAATATCTTTTATAAATAACAGTATTGGAGATTCACTGCTGCCTGGAGGTTGTACTAGATCCTGTGCATATTCAGGATAAGACCTTTGCAGTCAAGCCAACAGGAAAAGAAATGGTAGCTTAATAGACATAACATGAAAAGAAATATTACAAACAGTACAGATAATTAAACAAAGCAGGAGAATCAAGAAAGGACATCATTTCAATGCGAAACTTGATCTGAGGTGAGAGAGGGCAAAGCTCTGGGCAGCTCAAGGGGATACTAACTTCAGTATCCCTTAGGTTTTTGTTCTTAATTGGATTGGACCATGACCTCCACTGTTTTGCAAGGGTGGTGGCAGATGTCCAGCATGCTCATTTTAATCTGCTCATCCCTGCTAAAACACAGTATTAGTGAGGAGGAAGTGCTGTGAGGAACTATGTCTACCGAAATAAAGTGAGCTAGAGCACCTGAGCTGAAAAATTCATTAGTGTGATTATACTGACACAAAGGGCTTCCAACTCATATAGTCCCTTCAGATGCACTGCTCCTATACTGGATATCTTACTGTCTCAACAACTATGTAAAAAGACCAACAAAAAAAACAAAGCAACAGCAACAGCAAAGAGGAAGGAAATACAGTGCCTGAGGAAACTGAAATACAGAAAAGTGAGATAGCATTGCAGCAGGGATGGGAGAAGCAAGTCATTAACTCTGCCTCTCTAGGGCTCTAACCTTGCTAGTTCAGTGGTGAAGGTCCTTAGTGGCAAAGGTCAGGAAAACTGGGAAAACTACATTTGGGTCCTCTAGACACTTTCTGTTTTGGCACAACAGGATTCTGGATATAACTAAATTACACTGAATCTGTATGACTAACTAATTTCTAGTAAACAGAATAAGAGAAAACAAAGATATGGTAAAAGCAGTTATTTATACTTTCAGGTCTTGACAATAAGGTTGATTTGGTTTTATAGGCCTTTTCCCCTTGTGAATAATTTAGATGCACATGGAAGAAAAGGTCCCTTTCTCAGGATTAGGATGACTTGGTAGTACTACGACATTTTTACTTTTCCAAAATATTGATGACATGTTATTTTGTTTTAAAAGAACATTATCAATTTTGGCCACCCACAGTCTCAAAAGCAGAGCCAAACCAGACAGGTGGAAAGATCTGTCATATGATGCCACTGTAAAAAAAAGAAACAGTGGCATTTTGAGAACAGCCATGGCTCATATTTGGAATTCAGCTGAATAAGGAATCTTCTATACAGTCCTGTTGCAGCCCTATTGCAGCCATATTTGGTATAGAGTACACTGGCATTTCCAACCATTTAGGAAGAATACAGGAGAAAAATTATGGTAAACTGACAAAGTTATCCAAAAGTTTCAGGGGAAAAAAACCCCAAAACACTTAGTTCAAGATGGTTATTTTTAGTAACATCATGTGTGAGAAATAATTCCGTTTATTATAGCAGCTCAAAAACTGCGTTGACTATTACAGGACCTGGTTTGGTTTGCAGTTCAATTCACCTTCAACAGTTAAATTAATTCTTGCAAACAACAGCTAATCTAGCTTTTGCTAGCTCTACGTCTCTGCACGCATATTTTGATGTGCATCTCCCTGACACAGTGCCACACAGCAGAAAATGTGTTGCTTTCTCACTGTCTGATGCTCTAATTCTCACTCTTTAGCCTTGCTGGTAGAGTTAAGAGTTTCAGCTGCATGTGTTAGGTGTCAAAGACTGCTGCACTGCAGCACTGGGCAGATTTGTACACAGCACTGGTGGTAGCTCGGGACCGTGGTGCTTCTGCTGCAACAAATAAACTACAGAGGAGGATCTTGTGCTGCCTCTGTCATGCTTCAGGCAACCTCACTTTCTTTTGCATTCCAGCTTCTAGCTATTTGGTCAGCATCCCTGTTATTTGAAAACGCTTTCATTATCTTTCAATATTGTCACTTGCAACTACAGTGTGTGTTTTTAAGCCACACCTATGTTGCTCTTGCTTGCACTGACTGATGTAGAAATACTTTATAAAATGAAGTAATTTTTAATCTCCTTTTATACGGATTTATTTCCTATACCCAAGCTGTTTCTTGTCCTATTTCTTTCTGAGCTCCTAATTTATACTGTTTTATGATCTCCCTTTCTTTCTCAATCTCCTGTTCATAGTAAATTTTTCTTGTAATATTCCTAAATGGGGGAATGTAACTGCTGCTTTGACAGCCTCTTAATAAACATTACAGTCTGGATTATTAGGACATAGGCACTGTTACCTTCTTGGCAGAACTAATTAGCACTTTTAACAGCTGGCTTGGTTTAGAAAACAACCTTGCCTTATGGCTGAGTATCCTGGAAAATACTATCCTAAGAAGATTTGTCCCTTGTTATAATATTAACCTACATTAACAAAATACATTCAAATGCTGAAGAGATTCTCTGCAACAAGTTACTAACATGGCCAAAGGTCAGCATCTGTATCAGTGATAACTGTACGATGGATTTTTATTTTAGTGAAAGCAAGCTGTTTAATTTTTAACAATCCTCCTTCTCCTCTGCCCTCCAGCAAACCTAGGAGTGCATACAGGAGGATATTCAAAGGAAAACATATTAAAAATTCTGAGCTTGTTTTCAAGCTACTGGGTATCTCTGGCCAATACAATCTCTTTTATTCACTTGAACGAATTAATTTCCTGTGTTTTTGACTTCAATTTTTCAGATTGTTTTCAATCTGTAGTTACTGCTTACACAGAAAATAGTCTAATTATGAAGACTTTACAATAGTAACTGATGGTCTCTGACAAGACATAACCAGGGACTGTGTTCTTTAGAAGTTAACATCTACAAGAAATTAGATCTCCACCAACCTTGGAGTTTTCCTCTTGACTTGGGTGTGCTAAAAATGAAGACAGGAACACATCTCAAGCTTGCTTTTTATTCCACTTTCTGAATGGAAACATGCAAAATTGCACAAGGATGAGAAATAATAGTACACCCATTCAACACAACTTTTGGCTGTGAAAGGCCTTGACACTGTAGGACTCAGACTGAAGTGCTTGTGGGCAGACAAATCTAAGGATTGCTCACAGTACTCCAGAAGGCAGATATGCTAAATTTCAACCCTCTCAATTTTCAGATGCAGATGTGAAAACAATGACTTATATCATAACTTACTAGGTAATGTATTCTAACCTTGCATAAATGAAAATATTCTTAATAAAAGTTTAATGCCCCATGTTTTACCCATTTGTAAAGCACTGTGTATGGCTACATATAAACCTCTACACTTAAAACACAGCTTGATTCCCTTCCATGATTTAGTTATTCCACAGATTCAAAAGCATCGAAATTTCATACTTATGAAGGACACCAGGCACGGATCAGTCTGTGTGTTTACCTGATTTCCTGACCAGGGTATTTTGCTTTAATTTTAAAATCTAATTCAAATTAGCATTATTTTAGACAGCCAGGACAAGCAGTGGTGAATTCTATGTCAGTGTGCTACAGTATGCACATTATTAATGATCAAAAACATTGTCTATAACATATTTAAAATATCAGGCTGGTAGGTGCCTACACATGAAAGGGTAGATTTTTCATTTGTCTTCTTTTAACATATTCATACTCTCATTGTAGAACATGAAGCCCAGACGTTCTCTTACTCATTCCCAGAAACTCCTCCAATACAACTTACTCCAGTGGAACTGAAGCTGCAGTTTATGTGCACGGCCATAGAGCGGCAGCCTAGTAACAAAAAAAAAAAAAAAAAAGTACTTGATATTCCTAGAAGTGGGTATTTCCTAATGGTTTAACATTGCAAAGGGGTTTCTAAACACTAGAGAGAAAAATGCAGGAGGCATGACTACTCCCTGGAGGGAAAAAAACCCTAGCCTTGATAAAAGCTCAATACTAAGGGGAGGGAGGGGAAAGAGGTTGATAATTAGATGGCAAAAGGGGTCAGATTACGTGCCCATGTCAGCAAAACTGATCAAAGAGTATGAAACGAAGTACTTGATTTATGTCTTAAAAATCAAATGCTTTTTTCTTCCCTTTGATACAGGCAGTTAAGTACTTCCCTCGTGTGGAAGCTAGTGGACAGGATAACATTAATACAAGCCAATTTTTAGTTAAGCAGTTTCACAGACTTTTCATTGATAAAAATACAGCTCAAAAAGCCTCTGAATGTTCCACCAGCATTGCAAATCTAAAATGTCAAAGAACAGTATTTCATTGTTCTGTTGTTTGCCATGTAGTTTTATGTGTGAAATAAGAACAATTAGATCTATCTGCATTAAGCTTTATTTTTATGTGGAATTAAGTGGGTTTAGAAATTCTGAGCACACTTGAACTGTATGTAAAAGATCACTGAGGCTGAGCTTTCTTTGCATTTATGTAAATGAAAATTAGGATTAACTCCATTAATGCTGGTGGAATTTTAACAGCATGAAATTAGTGTGAGAACAGCATTAGCCACAGCAACTTCTAACGAAGTCAGTTCCCAGTGCTACTAAATTATATAGGTCATTATCCTTAAAACCAGAATTATTTTATATGAACCGTTTATAATTTTACTTCAAAGGGCTGCAATTATGAAATTTGGTTATTACACAATAAATATCTTCATGCTGCAATTCCTGATTTTTCTGTCTGTGATGTCCATATATTACTTATATCATTTGGACACCACATGTAATATTGAGAAAATTGAGAAGATTGAGAAAAGTGGAGAGAGAAATACTAAACAATTAGCAACCAAATATACTTTAAAGTGAACAACTTTCACTGCAGCAAGACTGGAAATTACCTATCAGACTATTACCTATAAGACATAATTTGAAAACTGAAGATTACCTCCACACAAAGTTGAAGAAGCCTTTGCTGGCAAACTCGTTTTCCTTCAAATTACCACATATCCCTTTTACCCACACATATCCATCTGACTTACTTGGCTGACAATCAGTGCTTAAATTTCACAGAACTGGTAAATACAATACTTCCCAGAACTGTAACAGTTACTTGCAATACATTATTGTTTCTAAAACATAAAAAAGAAGATGGGAACCTCCAACCTTCTCAGCATTCTCCTGGATATCAAAACAAAGTCAATATCTTCTTTCTTCAACTTTTACATCACTACCACTTAGCTTGTTGATAATTTCATGTTTTTTGATATGAAAAGAGATGAGTCACATACTCAATAATGGCTCACATAAATGAGGCTGTCCAGCCTGATATCCCATCTTCTGCAATAGCAAACAGTACATATTTACAGGAAAAGGATGAAAATAGCTTGAGTAACCTCTATCTCCAGCAGTATGCTTGTCAGAAAAGAAAAGATTTTTTTCTGAGCCGAAGAAGTGCCAGGAGTACTTTTTCAATATCAATTATAATAATGGGACTTGTCCTCCATTTTATTTACTCCTCTTTGATCCTGAGACTTCTTCCTAGGCTTCAGTTGCTATCCCTCACACTACCACTACCTCTTGCTTACTCACTTGCTTTAAACCTGCAACACTGACAGTGCTCTAGCGCCCTGGAGAATAACGATGGCACAGTCTCTCCTGACTAGTAAGTAATGGCCAGTCTTCGCGAACGAAGAACCGGGGAAGGTCTTTCCACCTTCCAGCCTGCGCATTGGATTTTTTAGGTGAGACACAGTGTGCGCGGAACTGAGCCCACCCTTTAATCCTGAGGTTCATCTGCCGGGGCCAAGCGAGTTTGGACGGTGGCAGCGAGGTCCTCAGGACGTAGATGGATTGCCTTATGGGCTAACGAGCTCCATCTGCCCAGGGAGTGGCCCCGACTGGGAATCGAACTCGGGTCTCTGCAGTGACAGTGCAGCGCCTTTACCCCCTAGACCACCAGGGGCTCCCATCTCTCCTGACTAAAACTGAGGGAATAAGCATTGGAAGGCCCTGAACAGCTGCCTCTCCGAGGAAGCCGGACATTGCAACTGGTTGAATTGCTGGGCCCAGGAAACCATCTAGGATCAATGGTATAAAGACCAACTAGCTGTTGCTAACTAGCAGGGCTTTCAGGCAGGGATGGATACTAGGGTCAATACTGTTTAACATCTTTAATAAAGACCCAGGTGATGGGATGGATTGCATGCACAGCATGTTTGTGAGTGATACCAAGCTGGAAGACATGGCTGTTACACTGGAGAGCAGGGCTGCTATTCAGAAGGACCTCTGGATAAATGGGCTGGCAGGAACCTCAAAAAGGGCAAATGCAAAGTCTTGTGTCAGGGGTGGAATAACTTCATGCAATAGGACGGGCTGGAAGCCAGCTGGGTAAGAAGCAGTTCTGCATAAAAGGACCTGGGGATGCTGTTGGACACCGAGTTGAATGTGAGCCAGCAGCACACTCTTGTCTGTAATTGACAGTGCAAAGCAATAGGGCAAGAGGCACTGGACCTAAGTTAGGAAGCAGGAAATTCCCAGTAAGTATCAGAAACAACTTCTCATGTGGGCAGTCCAATACTGGGACAAGGGCTCAGAGAGGTTGTGGAATCTCCACCCATGGAAACATTTGAAGCTGGGCTAGAAAAAGGCTTGAGCAATCTGATTTATTTGGTCCTGCTCTGAGCAGGGGTTTGGCCAAGGTGGCCTCCAGAGATCTCTTCCACCTGAATGACTGTGTGTTTCTACTAGTTTCCAATTGCTACAATTGAACCAGAAGAAGGTGAGGAATGAGGTGGGGAACACAAGAAGAATGTGGACCTGTTGGAGCGAGTCCAGAGGAGGGCCATGAAGATGAGCAGAGGGTTGGAGCAGCTCTCCTGTGAAGACAGGCTGAGAGCTGGGGTCTTCAGTGCTGGAGAAGAGAAGGCTCCAGGCAGACCTTATAGCAGCCTTCCAGTACCGAAGAAGTCCTACAAGAAAGCAGGAGAGGGACTTTTTGTAAGAGCATGGACAAGAAGGAATGGCTTTAAACTGAAATAAGGTAGATTTAGACTAGATATAAGATAGATAAATCTTTACTGTAAGCGTGGTGAGGCACTGGAAAAAAGTTGCCCAGAGACATTGTGACCACCCCATCTTTGGAAGTGTTCAAGACCAAGTGTTATGGGGCTTTGAGCAACCTGGCCTGGTGAAAGATGTTCCTGCTCATGGCAGGAGGGTTGGAACTGGATAATCTTTAGCATTTCCTTCCAACACAAACCATCCTATGGTTCTGTGATTCCCAGAAGAGAGGAAGAGATCAACTTCTGTCAAGTGAAGCCCGATTGTGAACTCCAGCTTGAAACAGATGAACTCCCATAAATTATTTTAGGAAGTGCTTAGGACTTTATACAGGATTAGTTTCAAAGAAATCTTGTTTTGCCATTTGAAACAATCATGCATTATACAACTATAGCACTTCAACAGCACAATTATTAGCATGTATTCTTGGCTACGGTTGCAAACACAATAAACAACTTCCATTTGACTTTCTAGATTCCAATAAAGAAAATGAAACATTCTGGTTCATTCTGCCACTTTTTTTCCCACATCTGTATACAACTTTCCAAGGTTATTTTCATGGAATTGGCAAGTTACAAGTGTCCAGCTAATGAAGAATTTATGTTGCATCTTTTAAAAAAATCATTAAAATAATTAAATTAAAATAGAATTGTATATTATATATGAAATATAATATATAAAATAAATAAAAATGAATACATTAATTTAAAAATTAACTTGTCAGGTAGGAATATCAGCCTAGGGATACCTGCACAGGAATACCTACTTTGTGACTGCTCTCCCAGGTTTATTGAGATATTCATGAAGTTGCAATACTAAGGCATTATTAGATCCCCTTGTCTTACTTTCTGTGCATCACAACTATCCAGTGTGTTTGTTACTTAGTTTATCCAAACAAGGCAGGGAGGTTTCTTGCTACAGCAAGTATGGCCATATGTGTGTTATCCGGTCTCACTCACAGCCACGTGCACACAAAGAATTATGTGAATAGTCATAAATATGCATATACACACTTTTATACTATTCACTCACATGTATAGAGTAAGGTATCCTGGATCCGAGAATAAAGAACTAAAAGAAAAATCCTACAGGTTTAGGTTCTCAACTATACCACAGATTTTCTTTTTAATAAGATACAGACTGATACCATATTAGATCTTTGAATATAAGGGGATTTATACTCATATGACTAATGCAGAATAGATGCTAGAGGACTTCAAACTTTAATACTGGTTAGCGTCATCATTTGTCAAGTGACGTATTTCCCACAGGTCACACAATTCTACATATTTATTCCTAGTGATTCCACTAATCTGTGGTCTGGAAAGCCAAGCTCCTCTGCTAGAACTTCTCCTCCCATCCGATGCAGATAACTCTGGCAATAAGCCCCTAGTGAGTGGAACAGATGTTGCTGTTTATTTAATTTATTTATCTTACTAATACACAGCTGCCAGGGCCAACAAATAAAAAACACTGAATTCCACCAGTACTGAAATTTCTAGTGAATGCATCTTAAAGGACAGAGACCCTAGAATTCGTATTTTTTTAAAACAAGGGTGTTAAGCTTTAACTTGAACAAATAATTATTACGATAAAGAATCTCAAGACATCTGGCAGCTTACATTTTTACATATGAGTTCTTGGATGTGCAAACTATAACTGATTTCTCAGAGACAAGTCTATACAACTCATACTGTACTCATACTTTAGGCCATATTTCTTGAACTGTAACAGTTCTAAGTTCATTTTAATATATCATCCAATTTTCCTGGGACAGCA